CACAGTTGAATTGAAGAACTTGACCCAAAAGCAAAAGAAAACCTCCCTGCAGTTTTGATGTAGCCTTCTTTACAACTGTTTTCCGAGTGTTTGAAAAACTCTGTACTGTGTTCAAGTTTATCTTTGCCGAGGAGACACTCTTCAACCCACCACAAGTTGCTTCAACCAAAATGCCGAGAAACAAAGCTAAAATCTGCCAAGAAACAGATTTTCTTAGCACTGGAGGACATTTATTTACTTCATCTGATTGCTTCCTGGCTTTAACTTCTCCACTATATGTTGTACAGGTTAGATTTGCATTTGTCCTGTTTTGTTTGTGAACTATCTTACCTAATCTCTAAGCTTTGTTCCTTTGCAAAAGTAGAATGGTTGCACCTTTTGTCTTCAAAATTAAGACGTGGCAGGTTCTTAGGACGTCTTGTTGCGTCCTTCTTCACATGTTGCTTCGTAGTACTGATGAAATTTTAAAATTGACTTTTTCAACTGGGATTTTGTCATGCCGTCACAATCAGCTCTGGCATTCAACTCAAGTTTAAGTTATATTTTGCTCGCAGATTTTGTGTATAGCTCTTATCTGACACACCTCGCGATAACTAGTTTGGTAATTTTTGCTGAGCTTTGAATTCTGCTTTGTTATGACGTCTTTGTATTAAAATTTAGGTAAAGAGTTGCAATCCTCATCTCATTTTTTGTCCGCCATTTTGTTTTCCTAGCTCAATTTTGTCCGAGCTGTCAATCACTTTTTATTTCACCGTTTTGCACTCAATTTCACTTTTCTGCACTGGTGAAATTGCACTGATCACTGATTTGGGATTAATTGACATGTTCTTGGCCAATCAGACTGCAGAAATTGTTGCTTGTATATTATTACAAAGGGAAACATCCGTTTAAACCGCTGTGCTGGAACATAAGCGAAAATTGTGATGTTGATGCTGCGATTAATCGCGCCGGCTATCAATCTAAAAAAAAGGCAGGAAAACACTACTCTTTGGGTTTTCTTCATTCTTTTTACTTGGCTAGTCTCACCTCCGGGTATTTATGGTACTCTTCTTTTACTGCTTATGCTGCTAATGACAACAGCAAAAAAAAATACACTATTCGCGGACTATTCACATTTATTCTCGTGGAATTGCAGGCTTTACTTATCAGCGGACCGCCATTATGCATGCGCAAGGGGCAATCTTGCAGAGTCTAGATTTTTATTTGCTCGTAGAATGCACACTAAAATATCTTATTTGTGAAGCTAATATCTCAAAAACTGATCCGGTGACCCTACTTTTTAAATGCACAAAAATATTGAACAGCAAAAATGGAATGCATGTGCGAAATTGTAAAAAAATCTGCAGAGTGGAATTTCTCCAACTTGGAAATTTCCATTTTTCTTAATCTAAGAAAAATCCACTCTGCAGAATTTTTTATAACTTTGCCTGTTTCTTCTTCTGTGTGTTAAAAAAAATGATTTTTATAAAAAAATATGGGGTCACCGGCTTAGTTTTTAAGTTAGATGCAATTGATAGTAAAAAGTGGGTCAAGTTTGTTGCTATGCAACAGGACAGTGCAACCTTGATTTATGACTTAAACACAATGAAAGGCACAGTGAAGAGTTAGCTTAAAAAAAAATAGCACAGCCATTCCAAACAGTACAGTTCCAAGCCTGAAAAATCACACCTAGTTCTATAAGTCTCAAAAATACAGAAAAATGTTTTGAGCCACCTTAAATCTCTTGTGATTGGTTGCAACCCATCAACAGCACATCCCACCTACAAAAAGTCATATGAAAATGCAACTACACTTGCTCAGCCCCTCCTCCCACGCCACCTGCAAACAAACTGTCATATGAAAATGCAACTACACTTGCTAAACCCTTCTTCCCACCCCACTTATAAACAAACAGTCATGTGAAAATGCAACTACACTTGCTCAGCCCCTCC